TTCTCTTTAGCACCTCTAATTTTCTGTGCTAATTCTTCTTTTTCTATTAGACCCATTTTATGTTTGGTTATATCCATTTTTAACTTAATGTCCTTTTTCTGTGGCATTTTCTGTAGCTCTTTTTCAAGTCCTTTATACTCATCCTCTTATGCCTTAGAGGCTAATCTTTTCATGGTATTTCTTTTCCTTGTATAGTCTATTATCAAGCCTCTGGCATATGCCTTCATTGCATCCCATACATTCTGGATTGATGTATCTTCTTTTTTGTTTTCTCTAAAGAAAAAAGCCAGTTCTTTCTCCATCCACTGTGTGAAGTCTTTTTCCTTTAAAATAGTATTATTTAACGTCCATCTAGATCTTCTTCTTTGTCCTTTCCATTTAATTGTCATTGGATTGTGATCAGCCCAAGTACTTGTTTCAATATTTATTTCTTGAATATTAGTTAACAATTCTGTTGACATCCATATCATATCTATTCTGGACCAAGATAAATGTCTATTTGAGTAGAAGGTGTATTGTTTAGTTTTAGCATTTCTTTCTCTCCCTGTATCTTTTAAGTTTATTTCATCTACCATTAAAAAAAAAAGATTTAGGGAGAGTCTTTCTGTTTTGCTTTATTGTTTTCTGTGCTGTATAGTCCAGTTTATTGTCTACAATTCCATCATAACTATATTAGCATAGTCCAGTTCAATTATTTTCATATGTAATTTTTTATAAAATTTTATAAAATTTTTTATAAAATTCTTCTTGATTGTCATTCAGGGCATAGATTGCAATCAGGAGTGTTTTTGTATTATTGTCCATTATTTCCACCATTAGTATTCTTCCGTTGTCATCAGTATAAATCAATTTCGCTGGGATGGTCTCTTTAATATATAAAACCACTCCTCTTTTCTTGCAGTAAATATTTTCCCTAATTTTGGCTGTATCAACAATTGTTCATATTGCTTTTTAATATGTACTTCTTGTAGGCAGATTATATCAAATTTTAATTTCTCTAATTTATGGAAGGTTTTCCTTCTTTTAACAGCTGAATTAAGTCCATTTATATTAATTGTAATCAATTTTTTCTCTTCCATGGTTATATTTTGTAGTTAGGTTTGACAGCTGTTGTGGATCTTGGTTCACATTGTTCTTTGGGTTCCTCCTTTCCACCTACTGCACCTTCTTCTTTTTCAGTCGTCATTTGGCAGTCCTCTTGGAATTCAATTAGTGAAATTTCTTTTTCTGCCTCTTCCTCTTTCCCTCTGAAAAATTCTGTGTAAAATGATTCAGCTTTCTCAATTGAGTCAATTCTATATCTCTGTTCTTGCCATGTGATCATTAAACCTTCTGGAATCAGCCATCTATAATTCACCTCTTTTTTAAGTAGCAATTTGGTCAAGAATCGGTATTCTCTTCTCATCTCTCTCACTCTTCTGGGTACTTGTTTCAAGACCACAATCTCCTTGTCTTTGTATTTCAATGTTTTCTCTCTTGCCACTTGCAATATTTGCATTTTAATGGCTTTCTTTGTAAATCTGATGTGAAACTTCTCTTGGTAAGGTATTTCTCATTGCATGTCTTGTGAAGACTCGATAGACCTCATCTATTCCATCCATCATCTTCTCTTCAGTTATTTCCAAAGCTTCAGCCAATATTTCTATCATTACCTCAGCTAGATTTTGTCCTTTTTCTTCCTCTGTTTTGGAATCTAAGATAAAATTCTGATCTGTCCATCTCCCATCTCAGCATACCACTTTTATTTTGTTCAACCACAATTAATGTGTTAACAATGTCTCCAATCTTCTTGTCTCTTTGTTTATCTTCTTCAATTTTTTGGAGTCTCTCATCATACTTCATCATCATTTGTTGGATGTTCTCCACTTTTTCATTGGTTTTCCCTGTTCTTTGTTCGATGTTCTCTATTCTCTTTTCAATATTCTCTGATCTTGTTTGAATATTTTGAATTCCTTGCATAATCATCTGCAGGGTCACTTTTTCTTGTTCTTTTTCTTGCTTTAACATTGTCTGTATTGAACGTTGTCCTCCAGATGGTGGAGAGGAAGAAGTAGAAGTTGAGGAACCAGGAGCTGTTAATTTCCTACTCATTTCGAGCAATTCAAAATCTTCAGGTTCTTCTAGACCTTAATCCAATTGTGAAATAACCAATTGCAGTTCCAAATAAAAATAGTAGGAAAAAAGAAGCCAAATAGTAATAATAATAATAATAATAATAAAAAAAATTCTTCAGGTTCTTGTATACCTTAATCCAATCAATTGGTTAGATAACAGTAAAAATTCAAAAATGAAGGAAAAGACCATAAACACACACACACAAAAGAAAAAGTTGTAAAATCCTAAAAAAGGCGGAAAAATAAAGAATAAAAAGCTAAAAAAAGAAAGGAAAAATTCTTCAGGTTCTTCAATACCTTAATCCAATTAAAAGGTCTCAAATATAAAAGGATGCATAAGAAGAAGAAGAAGAAGAAAAAAAGAAGGCCAGAAAGATAAACAAAAAAATAAAACCAATATGGAAGGTAGATGGAAAGACAAAAATACCAGGAAGGGAGAGAGAAAAAAAGGCTATTCCCTTAAAAAGAAAAGGAAGGGAATCATTAATACTAAAGCTTTTCCTTTAAAATAAAAAGCAAGCATAGAAATTTAACTTCCAAAGAGAAGAAAACAAAACAAAACAAAGACAAGTTCCAAAGAGCCAAAAATCCAAATAGCTATTACAAAAAGTAAACTGATGAGGAGGGGTAGCGCAGCTTTGAAAAAATAAAAAGAGCACACTGCACTTTGTTTAATTATCCAAGGCTCTTGTTATAACTCTCTTCTCCAGAGACTTATCACCTTTTCTTTTCCTATAAGCTTCAACACCAGACTCCAGCTGTTGATAGAAACCCAGAAGAGCACCTGCAATAATACTCTCCCATGCTCTTCCCTCTATCTTATCAAATAGCAATGTCCTTGAAAAGAAGTCTCAGTTCTTTCTCAGCTTTGTCTGGTCAAAAGAGAAATAGAATATTTCCAAGCCTCTAGTTGGCAGTGTTACAAAGTTTCTTTTGCTTTCACTTTCCCCCTCCTTTTCCAAGCAAAATATAATAAGAATTAATTAAAAAAAGAAAAAGATATTTTAAAAAAATAACTAAAAGGGAGTCTCTAGCCTAAAATATTATAAAATCAAAAAGGAGAAAAAGAATAGCTGAAAGAAAAAAACCCAGTCCAGTTTCAAAATATAAGATCATGTATAGAAAATCCAGCAATGAGAAGAAGAAAAAATTACTTTGACATTCCTGTTTAAAATCACCGCTTAATCACTTCTGTCAAAACTTTTACAGATTCTTTCTTTTCCTTAGGGTGTCCTTTCAAATCTTAGAATAAAGAAAAAGTTCTCACCAAACCGGCACACTCTCTCTCTTTCGTTTTGGAGCTGTCCCAACTTCAGTAGCTTTAATGGCTGCCTCTTTGCCGCTGGCAAAAAGTGCTTCTCCTGGATCTACCAGGGACTTTGCGGTATGCCTGGGATTGACAGGATGCGCTCTTCACTTTCACCGTCTCTTCGGGACGGTTTAGATCTGATTGGAACGTCCAGGAGCAAAGATATCAGCAGCGATTTCAGACCTCGCGATGCCAGCTCCGCCCTCTCAGATGCTTTTCTTTTTGACAGACCAACAAACAGTGGGAAAGAGTCATGGAATTTTGTTTTATAGATGGTAACTGCAATGAGATTATTATAGCACAAAGGTGGAAAGATTTGACATTACTCATAAATTGTTGAGATGGCTACATTCACATTAGATTAGATTAGATTAGAAAAAAGATAAGTAAATGTAATGCTGACTGCCTTAACAGTCTTGATGTGTGTGTTTTACAATGAATAAAAAGAATTTATGATATATTATTTCAATAATTAGAAAAATATATTGTTGAAAAAAGGAAAGTTATGTTGTAACCCAGAATAAGACATTAATTTATATCTATATTTAGAATTCCTATAAAGAAAATAAGAAACTATTTCTTTATATTTTATTTCTTTTTTCCTGCATTCTAGCTTTGTCCTTTCTTTTCTTCTTTTTTTCTGCAAAATAATATAAACCACATTATAAATCATAAAATACAATAAAACTAGAAGAAAGGAACCTCAGATTGTAAATTAACCTATTCTTTAAAAGCCTAGAAAAATGTAAGAGCTTGGAGTAAAGCAAAAAAAGTATTATGGAAAAATCAGACATTTTTTTCTTTGGGATGATCATTCTAAATCAAGTGCCTATGACTAAAAAGATTAACTTTTGGAATTTTCCTATTGTTTACAACAGTTCATTTATTACAGTAGCATTGAAAAAAATTACTTATGACCATTTTTCAGACCTATGATTGTTGCAGCATTGTCAAGAGTCAAAATTCAGACACTTGACAATGTATTTATGATGGTTGCAATGTTCCAGGGTCATGTGATCATTTTTTGCAATCTTCTGAGAAGCAAAGTCAATGGGGAGGCCAATTTTCATAATAACTGTGTTGCTAACTTAACAACTGCAGTGGTTCATTTATTAATTGAGGTAAGAAAGGTTGTAAAATGGACAAAATTCACTTAATAATTGTCTCACTTAGTAATAGAAATTTGGGCTCAGTTGTGGTTGTAAGTCATTTCATTACTTAGGATAGATTGTACAATATCCGTGAGCCCTGCACTGTATCTGCCATTTGAAACGCTTTGATATAAACTCAAGGACCACTGCCATAATTGCAATTGTTTTGTTATATGTGTCTGTGGAAAGGGTAGGATAATAAGCAGCATACTTATTAATTGTATTTAATACAATTTATATTTTGTTACTTTTAAACTGCATCCAATGTAATTGGTTTCTTTGCATGCCAGATTTTAAGGAGAATATCTCCAACATGCCAAAGAAATCTGAAAAAAGCAATGTATTCCTGGTGTATGTACAGCCCAGGGTTACTTTTGTAAAACTTATTGTATCTTTTCCCCCAATATTCCTCTCTCTCTTTTTCAGCATTCCTATGCACCAGCTTGCCATCCCATGGCTCCTCCCAGCCCCAGTAGTAATAGTAGCAATAACAATAGCAACAGCAGCAATGGTGAACAGTTGAGTAAAACCAACCTGTACATCCGAGGCCTTCCTCCAGGCACCACTGACCAGGACCTAATCAAACTGTGCCAGCCGTAAGTAAAATTACTTGTTCTGTTTCCCACTTGTTCTGTTTTTCTGAATCACATGTGCAAGGACAGATGGTTCCCAACAACTTTGAACCTTTATTTATGTGCAGATGAAGTAATTAAGTGTGTGGCTTGCCTTTGGGTAACATCTGATAAAAACTTGCATCTTGGTCTGGAGAGTGATAGAAACGTCCTGATAACCTCTGCTGGACAAAAAAACATAATGGTTATGCAGACTTTTTAGGAAAATGTTAAAATGTTCACTTGACACTGAGTAAGGCATGTATTAGTGGTTGCTGAGGAAATTTGTTGCAGTGGAAAAGAGAACAGATATAGAAAGACAACAGACATGTATCCCAATGGCTATTATAGGAGGAACTTTTTGGGTGAGATCTAATCCCTTGAAAATCTTAACCCTTCCAAATTAGCAAGCTATTAATATCAAATATCTGGATAAATGTTGCTTTGAATCTTTTTGTTTGAGTAAAATTAAAGAAATGAAATATATTATTCTTTTATTTCTACACATCTCTCAGCTTCAATGTTCTATTAACAGTATTCCTGTCATCATGAGTTGGTAATGTTTAGTTTCAATTAACTGCTCAGGACTGATGAGTTCATTTGAGTTTGGCATTCTTCTTCCGATCTTTCTTCTCAGCCACTTCAGAATTTCCCAAGCTAGGATGGTCTTAAGTGTTAAATCTTACTTTATCTGATGCTGGAAAAATAGTTTTGCCTTGGGAAATCTATAACGCAAAAGGGGAACATATATACACTAAACGTGCACTGAACATATATCACATATTTATATGCCCATCCTTGGAGTGGATCCTTGGATTTTGAAATTTGTTCATTTGTCTTTATGACTGTATTTGTCAGATTGGTATTAAATAACCTCTCAGATAGGTAAATTATATATAGTATCTATAATCAATTGCTACAGTAAGAAGACATGTATTTCATAAAGTCTTTTATTATTTCGTTTTAGCTCTGTTTATAATTAAAAATATGAAACCAATTCTGTGGAGGAGCACTGTCATCAATTACAGTTATAACCCAGCATTTTTTTGGCTCATTACAACTTACATCCTTCTTTCAACTTTCTACAGTTCTTCCTTCCTTAGGCTTTTGATATATTTCCATATTTCTCTTTTGATTAGCACTAACTTTATCCATTTCTTCTGTTGTCTAGGATCTCTTCCCTGAATCCTTGGTTTTAAAATCTAATGTTTATTTTGTCCCTTTACATTTCCTTAGCCTTCAGTTCAAGCCCACAAAGAATATGCATAATTGTATGTTATGAGGGTACATTACTGTTAGGGAGGATAGTTTTTTAATTCTACTTTCTGTTCTTTTTTTAATGTTGTCACTTAATTGCAATTGTCATTTTTTAAGGAAGCATGGCCGGTAACCCTACTCTTTCCATTGGACTCCCTTGCTTTTCCCATATTGGAGCAGGCTATTCTGAAGAGGATTTTGCAGTACATGCCTTCATGTTGTAGACTTCTTACGCAGGACGTTACAGAGTTAAGTGGCAAGATGGGATGTAGAAGATGAGAAGACCCATCCAGCCCTATATAAAGGCTTGTGATTTCTTCTGGATCAAATTCAGGTAGAATTCAGGTAGTACTCAATTTACAACCATAATTCAGTCAAAATTATGATTGTAAGTCATTGCAGTTATAAGTCAAGGCATATATGACTAGATTAGGTTTTTCAGTATTTTGTAAGGCAGTTGTAAAATGAAAGCCATGATTGTTAAGCAAATGCATTTTTCCTGATGTATGCTTATTTTTTGGCTAGGAACTGAAAATAAACACCAGGCAAAAACATTGTAGATTGCAGCCATGTGACTGCATGATGACCGTAATGGTGATCCAAATGCCAAACACCTAAAATATGATCATGTGACTGTGGGGAAGGTGGTAACTTCAAAAACAGTAATAACTAGCTCGTGGTAGATTTGAAAGGTCTGATGATAAATCAAGGACTATCTATATGAGAAATGCTGATATATTAAAAACCATTATCAATGTATAGCATTATCAATGTATAGCACAGAATAGTACTATGCTGTTCAGTGACAGGCTGCGATCATGTGCAGTTTTGATCTGTGCTCGCCGCTGGAGCGCCCTGAGCTGGCTGGTTTCGGGGCTAAGCCACCCCATAGAGGTGGTGAAGAGGGGGGAGACTGCCAGCAGGGTCGAGAAGAGTCACATCTCTCCTCCCTAGCTGGCCATTACTCCCTTTCCCGAAGGCGGTTGCAGCAGTGGTCAGAAATGGCCACCTCAAAGAAGAACTTGACTGGAAAAGAATGTGCAGGAGGAAGATAAGAAGATAAAGTTTTAGCTGACTGGGTCGACCTGAAAAAGCAACAATATAAGGTACCCTGGAATTTGAATTATAAAGAACAACATTGTTCCCAAAGAAGACTTTGAAGCGGCAAATGAGAGAGGGAAGGGAAAGGATTTGGGTTTTTTCTTTTCTTCCCTATATTGACAACTAAGAGATTTAAGCAAGAAACTGGCAAAAATCCACTTTGACGTTAACAGGCATTTAAGCTGAAAATAAAATGTCAAATAATAAAGATTTCTGGATTCTCAAAGACTTTTAAAAGAAGGAAGAAAACAAAAGGGTGGGATCTGGAAAATGGAGGAGACCACCTGGAAGTGATAGGAATTAACAGTGAAACTTTAACAAGATTCCTAAAAGATACATTTTAACTGAAACTTTGTAACAAGATAAGAGGAAGAGAAAGTGGAAAAAAAGAAGCAAGAAGAAACAGCTTTGGATTATTTGGATTACTTGGTGATTTTTGGATTTTTGTCTATTGGATCTAAAGGACTAAAATTAATTGGGTGGTTGTTTAAAAGTTTTAAAAATTGTATCACTCTTGGAAGAATTGAGAATGGAACTTAAAAAACAGAAAGAAGATGCACAAGAAGGAAGAGGTTCTTTTGGCTTCATATTTCAATTTTTAGAAGTGGAGATCCTGAACTAGGAGAAACAACAGGAAATGCCTGTAGAACAAGAAGGGCGGGACAAAGAAGAAGCCATCTTCAATGATCAAGTATTTCTATGTGGGGAAAAGAAAGGAAAGGGGGGAAAGAGAGTGAAAAATTTAAGATCTGAAAAAACAAAAAAGAATAGTTTGAAAAGTAATTACAACATTAGGAAGAAACAGAAGAGAGGATTACAGAAGAGAGAATCAGAATTAGAGAGAGAAAAAGGGAAAGGAGAAGAAAAGGGGGAAGAGGGAAAGGAAAAGAAATTATAAAGGACAGAAACAGGACATAGAGAAACAGGGAAAATGTTTCAAGGATTAAGGGTATAAGCCTATTTAGAAGACACAGAGATAATGGGTGAAAACTTAATTGAAAGGGGAATTCTGCAAGAGTACATAAGATAGTATTGTTATATTAGAAATAGAAATGAACTTTGAAAATATGAAACAAGTGTGATTAAAATGATAGATAAAATACTCATTGTAATGGAATGGAATGTTTAATAAATAAATGAAATAAAAAGAATGAGAGAATGAAATTAGGAAAGGAGGGGAACATTTCAATTATTATAAATGTGTTATAAAAATTTAAGTGAAGAGGAATATGAAACAAACATGAAAAAATTATGGAAATATTATAAGTGTTCCTAGAAGTATGATACCCTATTGAAAAGAAATGGTAAAGATATCAAAGATTATAACCAACATCAATGATAGAGCTGAATTGGAATAGAATAAGTATTTTATTTATTATTGTTATATATACATTTTCTCTTTAAGAACTTAGTGTGTATTTTAAGAATGTACCAAGCAGAATTCAACTGGAAGTTATGTGTTATATCGAATGTTATAATTGTAAAGGCATAAATTGAAGTTTAAATAAGAGTTGAATGGATAAAAATACAAGATACAAAGGTGTCATACTCCAATTAGTAACTACAGGGAAAAATTGTGTTTAATGAGAAAAGAAAATATGAAATTGAAACAGGACAGACAAAAGTATAAATATAATGACTAGAAAGGTATTGAAACTTAGAAAAAGATATATATATAATTGAATTTAGAAAGGAATGAGATAATTAAAAGTAAGATTGACAAAACGAAGGGAAAAATTATTGAGAAAATGTTAAAATAGTAATAAGATATGGAATAGAACACAAAGATGAATATGAAATTGAATTTGTGTCTGTATAGAGAAGTGATAACCTGGGACCATGCCATTCTCAAAAAAGGAAATTTTACTTGTATTATGTTTTGTGAAAATCCAAATAAATTTTTTATTTAAAAAAAAAAAAAAGAATAGTACTATGCTATATACAGGTGAAACTTGAAAAATTAGAATATCGTGCAAAAGTTCATTTATTTCAGTAATGCAACTTAAGATGTGAAACTAATATATGAGATAGACTCATTACATGGAAAGCAAGATAGTTCAAGCTGTGATTTGTCATAATTGTGATGATTATGGCTTACAGCTCATGAAAACCCCAAATCCACAATCTCAGAAAATTAGAATATTACATGCAATCAATAAAACAAGGATTGTACATAGAATAGAATAGAATAGAATACTTTATTGGCCAAGTATGATTGGACACACAAGGAATTTGTCTTGGTGTAAATACTCTCAGTATACATAAAGAAAAGGTACATTCGTTAAAAATCAAGAATCATAATGTACAACACTTAATGATAGTCATAGGGTACAATCAGCAATCAAATCATACGAGGAAACAGTCAAGTGGGGGGGATGGGTGATAAGGGGTGGTGAGAAGATTAACAGTAATAGTAGTGTACACTTTGTACATAGAGCAATATCGGACCTCTGAAAAGTATAAGCAAGCATATGTACTCAGTACTTGGTTTGGGCCCCTTTTGCAGCAATTACTGCCTCAATGTGACGTGGCATGGAAGCTATCAGCCTGTGGCACTGCTGAGGTGCTGTTTCTAAAGGATCTTCTAATATGAAAGCCAAATCGTCCGCAAAGGCTTGTAATTTAAA